CTCTCTCCCTCTCCCCTTCGACTCTTGTCCTCTTCCCTTCCCCACCCGGCGTCCCCCAGCCTCATCGGCTCGCCTGGCTTCATGTACTACCCGCGCCAGCACCTCCTGGAGGAGTCCATCGATCGACTGATCCACCTGTTCCCGAGCAAGGTCGATGCTTGGGCCGAGTACAAGAAGCACCAGGACTACATCCAGAGGGTCAACCCCACGGTCCGGCGTCGCCTGAAGGAGATCCAGCGCCGCCGCGACAAGATCCCCAGCTTCCAGACTTAGAAAAGGGGCCTTCCCCCCCCCCCCTCCCAGGCATGCGTGTGCTCCCGTGTACTGGCAGCTTGCTGGCACCCCATTCGTCTTCCCTTCCTTCTCCTCGCACCCCCCGGGCTGGTCGCCGCGACAGTCGACTTGTTGCGCTCCTTTGGGCCAGGGCCGTGTGGGTGCGCGCGCGCGCACGCGCCTATATCCGCGGCTCACTCGCACCCGCCCACCTCTATGCACGCGCCGGCGCGCATGTGGTGGGGGTCCCTGCCGTGATGTGTTGGCACCAAAGGGGTCCTCTGCCCAGGGTCCCTCTTCTTTTCCCCCCCTTTTTTTTCCGGCTCTGCCCCTCCTGACCCGGTATGTCACATTTCAATACACCCATATAGATCCCCCTCTGCCTCTTCTTCTTCTTCTTTTTTTTTTCGGCCGAGCTTCTCGTGCCCTCCCCCCTCGCCGGCAATATCGCGCATGGCTTGCCTCCCGTCTGCTGTCTCGCTCTCCCCTCGGTGGATGACACGCCATGATGTACATGGGTCCGTGGTGTGTGTGTGTGTGTGTGTGCGTGTGTGTGTGCGTGTGTGTGTGTGTGTGCGTGTGTGTGTATTTCACACAGGCTAGAGCCCGGGGGAGGGCGTAGGAAGGATCGAATGTCTGGGATGCAGAAAGACAGGAGGAGCAAGAGACCGGCCATGGTGGGAGAGCGGGCGAGGAAGGCCCATGCATGCGCGTTGCCTCGCCTGGCCGCCTGCTACACGACCGGCAGCGCCACGATGGCTTAGAAGGCCGAGAGGAGAAGGCCCAGCAGGACGGCCACGGAGCCGATCAGGGCAGTCGGGGCACTGAGAGAGGACCCGGCGTTCAGACGCGGGTCCGGGTTCATGACACCGATCGGGGCACCGCCCACGCGAGGGCCGCTGTTGCCGGCCGGGTTGGTGACACAGTCATCCTTGCCATAGTGGAGGATCAGGCTGCGGCCCAGGAGGAAGGAGCTGCTGGGAGCGCTGTGGACGCTGTGGCGGCGGCGATGTCGCGCGAGGATGCAGCAAGAAGCACGGGAGGGAGCGAGAAGGAGGGTCAGTGATTGGGGCCTGCAAGGGGGAGAGGCCGGACCGGTGCCACCCGGAAAGCGGGGAGTGCCACAAGAGGCAGCACGCGAGGAGAGATGGATGGGGGAGAGGAACGGGGGGAGGGCGCCCCCGGGAAAGACAGACACGCACGAGATACCGGGGGCATTGAACTGGGTGTGGATGCGGCCCTGGGCGTCAGCCTGGAAGGCGCCGAAGTCGCCGGCGTGGCGCTCGGCGCTGTCAAGGCAGCCGTGCGCGGCGCCAGTCGGGTTGTAGTGGCCATACGCGTAATCCAGGTCATTCAGGTAGTACGACCAGCGGTGAATGTGCAGCGAGTACCAGGCCTCCGGCTCCAGGCCGGCAAGGCGGACGTCCACATCGACGCTGTTGTTCTTGGCCTCGACGAAGGTGGCAAAACCGGAGACCGCGTAGTCGCGGGGGCCGTGGGTGATGGAGGTGACGAAAGTGGCGACGGCCTTGCTGACAGGGTACTTGGCTGGGGGCGAGTGTCAGCAGCGGCACCATAAGAGAAAGGGAGAGAGAGAAAGGGAGGGGGGGGGGAGGGGAGGGGGGAGGGGGAGGGGGAGAGAGGCCGCCATGCTCTCCGCCGACCGGGAAGGGGGCACGGCCGTTGGCGGGACATCGGCAAACGCACTCTTGTCGAGGGGGGTGTACTCGGCGGGGTTGGTCAGGGTGGTGTGGCCGAAGACACCGTAAGCCAGGACATTGGTCTCCGGCTCGCGGAAGGTGTTCGCGAGGTTGACCGAGCGGCACTCGTCGATGCTCTTGGTGACAATGATGCCCCGACCGATGGGGTAGCCGGCATCCTCGGGCAGGTGGCTGCAGCCGGCGGGCACACGGGTTAGACATGGGGCATTTGGACGAGGGGCGCCAGGCCCGGGCGGGCGGGGGGGGGGGGGGGGGG